AGTCACCAATTTAGTGCTACTTGGTCCCAATGGAATTTCCCATTGGGAACCTGCTAGCACTAAGTTGCTAACTGGTTAGCAAGATGCTTCAGAGACACCGGCCAATCAATCAATCAATCAATCAATCAATCAATCAATCAATCAATCCAGGATTTTTTTGAGATACAGATTTGATGGCTGCAGAGGCTATGCGTGGGGGGCGTGGTCACGCACATAGACAGATTTGAAGGTTGCAGAGGCTATGCATCAGAAGCATAAATTGGCCTTAAGAATGGAAAGCTTATGCATTGCAGTAATGTATTGGCATTTTAAATCAATAAAAAATTAGCTTGAGGAAGGGAGAATGGGTAACCTGATGGAACAAACTACCGGATCAACAGTTTGCACAATCAGTTTGTTTTATTCATGATCTAATCTTTGTACACAAACCCAAAATAAAACATGCTCAAAGGTCCATGGCAGTTTTAACCCATCGGCCCTGTGCGTTTGGACACTTTTGTATTTATAAGCATCAAAATTTGCACTTCAAAATGCAAATGTTATTCAAATGCTTATTCAATGAGTCAGAAAGGAGTTGCTTCCTCTTTAAGACACTTCCAGAAGTCCTGAACTCTTCTCGGTCGGCAGCAATGCCTGTTGGTGAGACGCTGGACCTCAGGGATTCACTGTTTGGGTTTCACTTCTTTAACTCTTAAGGTTGCATCATACATTTCATCTAACAGACCCCTGAATGTCAACATTTAACTCCTTCACGCTTCCTTTCTTGTTCACTCCAACCTTCTCAGTGCAGTTTTTAGATTTCCTGCACAGCCTGGTGTAATGCACGACTAAACACCTCCATCTGACCATGAAGTGTACTCTGAGCTCCCTGCTCTCTCCCCCCTCAGGGCCCCTCTATCTGTCTGTTCATCTCTTTGGTGCATGTGTTGTTTGAAAGCTAAACAGGTCTGCAGAGGACGTATCTGTCCAGCTTTTAAAGGGATACTTTAGTGGAGTTTTTGAGGCTGATCTGTAGGGAATTAGTTTTAGATTAACAATATGCATCCTGTTTTCCAGTAGCAGTCAGGAGGGTCTTCAGTTTAGGGCGGTGGTCTCAAACTCCAGTCCTTCAGGGCTTCAACTTTTCATTTTACATGTCTGCAGTAGTTCATTGACAGAGTTCTGCAGAACTTGGCTGCTGCTAGTGAGGAAGCTTAGCTGTGTGATTCAGGTTTGTAGGGAAAAGGGACCCGTCTAATAGTTGGAGGAAAACCGACCCTCATGCACAACAAAAAAAAGTAAATCTAATTAAGCCATTTTTTCTTAAAATAAGTGTATTTTTCTTGAATTCAGAATGCAACTGAGACACTTTGTCAATGGAAAAAGAAAATAAGAAATTGTCTTATTAAAGTTCATATTATCTAATTCTTATTTTAAGAGTGAAAATACTCATTCCATTGGCAAATCATCTTATGATCAAATTAAGTGTAAATACACCTAATCTAAGAAAATTTATCTCTAGATCATTATTGCAGTTTGGATTTGTATGGAGTGAATTTTGTTCCGTTATTGTAAGCAAAAAGCACATTTTCTAAATGGAAATTTGAAAAAAAGAAAAAAGAAAAGGCAATCCAGAATACAACTTTAAGAGTTCTTTATCAAAAAAGGTTTGGATATAAATTTGCTGTTTTTGTTTTTTTATTTTATCTTTTTCAAATGTATTTTTTTTAATTGTTTTTCTCCAGTTGCATTCTTTTCAAATTGTATTTCAGAGATCACGTTCTCTTCACTTCAAGCTAAATAGAAACGCTTTCTCTGGACCAATGAGAATGATGTTGCTGACATCCAACAGACCAATAGAAATGCTCCTCACTCCAGAGGAAAGCCCGCCCCCATAGGTGAAGAGAATGTGATGAGAAAAAACACAATTTGCCAAGAATGACACTTGTAAAAGTAAATCTGTAAAGGAGAAATTAAACCAAAAAAATAAATAAATAAATAATAGGCATTTAAAAAAAAATGTGTCATGATCGGTTTACGAACCTGACCCACATGCCGATAAAACGCTCAAAGAAGGGAAAAGTTTAACAGGTTTATTGAGGGAGTAAAACAGGAGTTGGATAAGGAACTCAGTCAGCTGGTGACCCGGAACTGGAAGTGAGAAGGGAAGTTCAGTGGTCAGTTCAGGGTCCATGGGAATCTTGGAAGCTCTTAGATTATGCAAGGATGGGACTCATGTTTAAGGGGGGTCTTGTTAGTCCTAGAATCCAGTCTGTGTGGTAAATCCAGAGAATAGTGCATACGTTGGCGGGCGGACAGGTTGACAAGCGTCGGAGCCGGAGGAGTAATGGAGCGGACTGTCACTCGGATTTCCGATGGGTACTTGAACGGAACATGGGGAGGTTTTATCCTGCTCAGTGTAACTCGGTTTTTTCCTTCCAGGGGAGCAAAGACAAAAAAACTCGTTAGACTCTGAGAAACAAAGCTAGGTTAGACTCAGCTAAACTCAGCTTGGCTAGAGTACCCAAAACTGGCAAACACTCTGGCCTCGAGGTAGTGACAGTCCACTGCTCAAATACTCCTCCAATGATCCAATGAGCCGCAGGTGTGCAGGGAGGGTCAGCGAAGACAGTGCACCTCCTGGTGGTGGAGGTAGAAAAACACAAACAACCACAAAACAGACCACACAAACTGGATTCCTAACACTGAGAAAACAACATAGTTACTCTGGAAAACTTTTTTGATTAACAAGTTTTTCAAAGTTTAATTTTTGAATAGAATTTTTTATTTATTTATATAATATGTGTAATGCTTGCAACAATAAAGTGGAAAATTGCTGCTACTGTCTTTAAAATTTCCTGATTTATTTATAAACACTACAGAAACATTTTATTCTGGGTTGAGCAAAGCAAAAGTAGGAAGTTAGAATTTGTGAGAAAAAAACTTCCTTTAAAAAAAGAAAAAGGAACATGGGCCATTGACCCATTTTTCTCGCAGTTCAGTTTGATTAAAGGAGATTTTGGCTCTTTGCTCCTCTTTCTTTAACTTTTATGGAAATAAAACAGTCTCGTTGATGGCAGCCTTTTTTTGTACACAGAATTTTAAACGCTGAATTTTTTTTTAGCACCGTATCTGAAACATTTAATTTTTTTTACGCATTGAAATTCCTTAAACTGAATTTTTATGTTGTGAAAATTCAGCTGCAAAAAAATTTACCTGCAAAAGATTTGGTGGAAAAAATTTAGATGGAAAAATGCCAGGGCCAAAAATCGTTCCCAGTCCGAGCCTGCCAAAAGGTCAGGTAAATTTTTTACAGCTGAATTTTTTGCAGGCAAATTTTTGCCAGATATAAATTCAGTGTAAGGAATTTAATGTATAAAAAAATTCAGTGTTTAAAAAAGGCGTTAAAAACATTCAGTGTTTAAGATTTGGTGTACCGAAAAGGCAGACTCCAATGTTTTTCTTTCATGCCTTTCATGGGGTCAACAGTCAGAACACTATTTTTAGGAGAAGATAGAATCTGAAACGCTCTACCAAATCTGGACAGTCTTACAAAAAATACCAAATGATTGCTAGTCTTATTGGGACTACAGTCTTTTGAGGAAACTACCAAATAAACCAGTGGCTGTATGGAAGGCTATAGGGGACAAAATGAAATAAATAATTATAGCCTGAAATAAATAGGTCCATATGTATTATGAGATAAAAAAAATGCACCAAGAAATGTATTGTTAGTTAGTTAAATGTACAATTTATTAATTAAATCATTAAATGTATCATTAAATGCACCATGTAAAATGAAATAAATAAATTTACCTTTTTGTATTTTACACATATCTATAAAAAATTAGTTAAAATGGAAAATGTAATTATTAAATTTACATTTTTTTTATGAATTTTGACAATAACAGATTTTTTTTAATAAATATATATTATAAAGTTACATCAAATTTTTTATAGGAATATTTCTTTATTTCGTAAAACATTTACATTTATTCTTTTCATTTTTTGTTTATTTCGTATTGTCCCCTTTAACCTTCCATATGCTGAAGATTCCACAAAGCACACGTGTTGCAATATTGTTTTTTTTTTTATTTACTCTTTGATTTATGCAGTTAATATATATCACGTCCCGCAAAGGATTGTGGGATTGTTTATAGCTTCTCAGCCCCAGATGGGAATGAACAGAAGGTCACTATGCTAAATTAAACAATATGAAGCATTCCCCATATTGTGATCAGTGTGTTCAGGCCTTTAGACATTGGCTATAAAGAAGAACAGTTGCTGTCACCATACAGATTAGCTGCAAGAAGAGCCGCTCAGATTTGAGCAGAAATGATCGTTTCACATCATCGTTCGTTGATTGGATAAAGTGGCCGTGTTATTTGCCTTAAAGGGGGCAATTAATCACTGCTTCCCATAGAAAGGTGAAGGTCAGGAAGGTGCTGCAGCTCAGACGGCTGTAGGACGAACCACACATGCGATGAATTAAGCAAAGGTACCACATAAGGCATGATTTAGATGAAGGAAACGCATTAGAACAGTTAAAAGCTCAATAAGGTCGATTTCCCATGAAGCAGAGCCTTTAGGAAAATCAAAGCCGGCTCAGCGAAGGATTTCTCTGCAGGATACTGAACTAAAAACAGGGTAAATCAACAAAGCAATAGTTACACAGACAGAAACTTTTTCTACCACAGTGGCCTCTGGTCCCGTGCAGCTGTACTGTGTTAGAATGTGGGAGCCCTGCTGAACCAAAATAAGAGATAAACCAGGCTGTAGATGACACACAACACACCCGCTGCTGCCATGCAATCAAAGAAGGAAAATTAAAACAACTGGGAGGATAAAATAAAACCGCCTGCAGTTTTATTGTTATCAGTCATGTAGTGAAAAGTATTCCAGCAGCTTGGACTTTTTTTTTTAAATTGTTATTTCCTTTTTTTTAAGTTGTCCTTTCAAAATAAAGTCTGGCTTAGTGATTAGTTTACATTGATGCAATCAGACGGTTTAAAACTTCCCAAACACAAGACATCCAGGGAGCCTTTAGATGCTGGCTGCAACTTTACTGCCAGGAGCCATTTGTTGAAGTATAATTTAATAAAGAACACATCAGGTAATAATCAATATGAATAAAAAAGACCAAAGCCCCCTGCTGGCTACTAAGGAGTATTACCGTTTGCTTTTAGACTATAAAAAATAGAGATGATTTTTTTCATAATCATTATGATGTGCTTGCTGAGGGATATATGGAGGGCAAAAATCCCCTGAAATTAATAAATGTATTTTAAAATATGTAGATATTACATATTAGGTGGTAAATTGTATTCATATTGATTCAAATGTTATAGTAAATTAAAGGAATAGTACACCCAAAACATGATTAGCCTTCATTTTCTACTCACCCCC